AGAGAGAGAGAGAGAGAGAGAGAGTGAGAGAGAGAGAGAGAGAGAGTGAGAGAGAGAGAGTGAGAGGGAGAGCGAACGGCTAACGAAAAACCTCAAATGATTCTATTTCTCCCATTCAGTCCAGGATGTTCCACAGACCCGTGCGCGCATGCGCAAATGTTTGCAAAAATGCTGTAGCGAGTGGGAGCGAGACGGAGACCTCTCTCGCACAAAAAGTTCTCATTCCCGGCGCCGGATTTAGGGGTTGGAGCTAGAAAATTGCGTTTAACTTTGAATCCATAGGAGATTCGCGGGTACGATCCAGACAAAATTTGTGGTAAATGTTCTAATAAAAAATGTGGAAGAAAAAAAAAAGAAATTCATCGATTCAATGTCAAGATATAAATAACAACATATATTAAATTCGCTCTGAATAAATAAACAAGCTATTGAAAAAAAACACTGATATTCCGAGGTGAATGGCGTGTGGAGGGCGCCCGCAACGGTCGGTGCAGCGGACGCTGAGTACAATTTACACCGAAATAAACATACAGATCACTTGCTTGATACAAGNTACAAAAAAAAATTCATTAACTTCAATTTTTTAAATGGAAAACTTTTTTTTCCCATCTGATCTTCACGCGGCTCTGGGGGATGAACGGTTGGGAATAGGCGTAATGTGGCCCAAACATTTTTTGTGTAGAATTTTGAGCTCTACAACTTTGTATTTTACATTTTTGGACGTATAGCGCGTTATTCACGAGTTATTTCGCAAAAACCGTTTTCAGGGGTAGTTTTTTGGCTTTTTCAACCCCTGCACAAACTAGGGGAACCTTAAACATCCGCCATTAGTTTCATACGCCCAAATCATAAATTGTATCGAAAATGGAGCCTGATTAGCAAACATTCGTATGTTAGACCTTCGTTCATTGGACTACTCCGGACTCACTCGACGCCGGAGAGCCGTTCGGGGTTTCTCCGCGCTTTTGAAAATTCATTCCTCCGCTCCTACTTGAGATTAAGTACTGAAATCGCTGTCATTTATTGAGAATTTAATTCTCTATCGATCGGCATCGGTTTTATTCCTTCATCTTAATTAGNAATGACACCGATGTCATTTATTAAAAATATAATTCTCAATCGGTAAGCTTTGGTTTTATTACTTCATCTCAATTAGGGAGGGGAGAAATTAATTTTTGAATAAGAAGAACTTGTAGGAAGTCACTGCGCGCTTTGAAAATTCATTCCTCCTCTCCTAATAGAGATTAAGAAATGAAACCACTGTCATTTATTGAGAATATTATTCTCGATCGATAGATGTTGCTT